TTGTTTACAACTAGTTCAAAATCCTGCAGCCAGAGTGTGAACTGGTACGAAGAAAAGAGAGCACATTACTCCAGTTTTAGCACACTTATACTGGCTCCCAGTGCATCATGAATCCAGTATAAAAAGGCACTGACAGTTATTAAAGCTCTGAATGGTCAGGCAACTCCATACGTTGTGGACATGCTTTGCATTTATGCGCCCTCAAGATCTTTAAGGTCTGCGTCTCAATCACTTTTAAAGGTCTCGTCTTAAACAAAAAGGGATCGTGCTTCTGCTGTCGCCGTGCCAAGACTTTGGAATGGCCTCCCAAGTGATACTAAGCTCCATCTGTGACTTTTTAAAACCAAGTTTAAAATACATTTTTATTGATTAGCATTCAGCAGCCATTGAACTGTGGACTGAGGTCCGTACACTGTTGTGTGAATGCATGATAGTGGTGTTCGGATGTTGGGAATCCTTTTTGTGTTTTATCGTAAAGCACTTTGGTTTTAAATGTGCTATATAAATAAAATTCACTTACGTTACTTACTTTACTTACTTACTATCTCATGTCATTTTGTTTAATATTGCCAGAGAACGGCAACTACTCAATCACAAAAAGCTCTGCATTTTTTAACACAGCATTTGTCACTTTTAACACGTCAACAGTAAAGTTCATTTCAGACTGGAAGTGCAGCTCCTTTGGCTAATCCCCTTAAATGCTGTCTTTCATTTACAGAAGTAAAGATGGGGAGAAAGGAAAGACAAAAACAAGAGTGATGAAATATTCCTTTAACGTTAGCGCAGTTTCCAAGTAGTCCGATTGTGGCAGAAAATGCTCTCTGAAGTCTTAAAAGAATGGTTTGGCACAAAATCTAATTCGCAGAGTTTTCCACTTACTCCAGATGCAACTGATCAGCCAAGACTTCTTTAGTGTCCCAATTTGCTTCTTTGGTTTAGTGCTGGCGCCACAAGGCTAATGTTGCTAACAAACACTAGAAGTCAACAGTCACTGAATGCTTTTCCTTAAGTACAAAAGATTGTACTTCTCTGAACCCCGCAAACTGCATCCAGGTCTTCATTAAGGTCACACGGACTAGCCGATGTGGCTTTGGGCACAGTACCACTCCCTGTGAGCTATTACGTGTAGCTGAATGCTGCAGACACTTTAGACAACAGGTGTTGTCCAGCATTCTGACTCCCTTTCATGTGTATGCATGTCATGCAGGCATAGGATCACTAGATTTCATCTGTTTCTGTTGTTTCTATTTATAAATATACAGGGTGATTCAAAAAGATTCATCTGATTTCAAAATGATTTATTTCACCTATAAATCATTACAGATCAATGCAGTAAACTGTAAATGGTTTAAATGAGCATAAAGTTTATTATGTAATTGTACAAGTGCTCAATATGAACGTCCTCCAGCTGTACAGACATCAACGCCACAGTCAAATTCATCCCATACTGGATTGAGCATGTCGGGTGTTGCTGCACTCACGGCTCTTTCAGTGCGATTTCGGAGATCATCCAGTGTTGTGGAACCAACGGCGAACGCTCTGAGCTGTTGGAGCTTCACTGCCCACAAAAATCACACTGCACAGTTATGACGGATTCACTCTTATTGAAGTGGAGAAAGCAGAACGCTTTCTGCTCAGGGGTCGCATCTCCTCTCAGACTGAAGGAGCCATCTTCCACTGACAGTCAGAAACTCTATGACCCCCTCTTTCAATTGGATTGTGATTGGTTCCTAGACGCCTTACAGTTGTAAAAATATGGCGCTTCGAAATCGGATTAATCTTTTTGTATCACCCTGTATTTTTTGTCATCGTTCTATAAAAGCAATGATCTGTATGTAAACTGCTAGCAGCCTAATAAACACGCACTACAAAGCCCGTTCGATTCTGGTTCTTTTGGCATGCTCTCAGACTCTTTTTGTGGGTGTTATTTGAGCATCAGCTACTGAAGCCCAGCCTGTACTGCGGTACTGTAGCATGCTAACTAAGCTAGCTTTAGTGTAGCCGAGCAGGATTATATATCTGCAATTGCTAGGGACACAAAAATGGACATTTCTGTAGAATGACCCACATAAAGATGGAGAAAAGCAGCAGACTTAATAAGTATCCTAGCCAAAACAGTGCAGCATGTTTTTTTTTTTTTGTATATCTAGTATATATTTGCATTTTTTATATTTTTATATCTTACCTTTGATGACAGTTTACAGATCACCGCCGATAAGAACAAATAAACTCGGACTGACATTTTATATTAGGCTTTGGAAGTGGGCACTCATGTTTTAGGTCAAGTTTCTGCCTCCAGGTCTTTCTTTTACCTCCGCCAACGTCCTTTTGAATATCTGGAGCAATTCAAAGTACATTCACAGGAACACTAGCTCAATGCTAAATAAGCTTAACCGGTAATGGGGGATAGTGAAACCGATACTTAGCAGTGATTGAAGGAGAAAACGAAGCAGACCTTGAGGACAGACGTAGAGAGCGTCAGGATTATCCGCCGTAACATTAACAAATTATTTATTTTTTTCACTGTGCCGCTAGTAAAGTTCTTACTGTGAGTAAAATCATCTATCTGGATCATCATAATTGCCCGCAGGGTCCCCCATAACCACTCAGACCTCTGGGCACGTGCCCATAAGACCCACTGGACGATCCTGCCCCGAAGGATCCAAAACCAAAGTTCCCATCTGCCTTTAAATGCCTCTGGCTACACCACACCACTTTTAATCAACTTTAAAAACTTGCATTAGCACACCAGCTTCCACGGCTGAGCAGTCTCTCCATAGCAAAACCCATCTGTCTAATATTTCAGGAGAAAAGTCTTGCCAGGTCAGAATATGCTGCACAATGATTTGTTCGTATCTCCTATGCTCATTAAAGTAACACTTGCTACTTCACACTCTCCTGCACACCTGACACATCATCCATTTATTTGTGTGTCCGGTGTTGTGGAACCAGCAGGCCTCTCCACTAGGCCAGAACCACCTCATTACAGAAAAGGCAGACTGAGACCATGAGGCTACGCTAAATGCTAGGCCATAATTAGGGTGTCACTTCAAATCAAGTGTTTCTAATAACTGTGAACCTACCCTATGGCTACACGATAAAAGGCTTCTTTTAGTTGCACACACAATGTTAAGTTATGCAGTCTCTTTATGGCAATATAATGCCATAAAATGTGTTTATGCTGTCATCACATAGCCTGCTTTAATGTGAACTGGCATTTTGCAATAAAAACGCATTCACCACATCACTCACTATCCTGCCTCCTGGACATCTACTGCCATACAAAGTTTAATTCCAACCTTAATGGGCTGCACCTGCTCCACAAAATCACTGTTCTGAATGGGGTCTGTTTTGGGTTAGAACTTGGCAGAAAACCCCACCCCCAACCCCATCCCATCTCCCCAAAAAAAGATGGACTTTAACCCTTCTGTAGTGTTGATGTGTTTGTTACTCAGTGGTCTGGTGGACCCACCATGTTATTATTTTTTAAGTCAATACAGACATAAAAACTGATATGCAGTTTTTCTGGTCCCAAAACACCTGATTCAACTAATCAGCTGATTCTGAAGCTGTTTCTGAGCTGAGGTCGGTCTGTTAGAAGGGAGGAAATCACTAAAATGTGAGGACAGGGCTGCTTCAGGACCAGGACTGTGAACAACTGAAGTATGAATTGAACTGAAATGAATCATGGTAAACATATTGTAAGTAGGCCACAAAATTAACTATATGAGCCCCTTAAAAACGTCTGTACAGTGCAATGAAGATGTACCAGGGTACTATATAAAGTATAAATTTAAAATAGAGGCTAAAATACATGTTCTATTACCACACTATTCTCCACACACAAAAAAAGCTGTTAAAACAATAAGCATATGCACCTCACTTTAACCCTTGTGTGGTGTTGATGTGTTTGTTACTCAGTGGTCTGCTGGACCCACCACAGTATTGCCTTTTTAAATCAATACAGCTATAACAATTTATGTAAATATACCAGATGTTTAAAATATCACGTGTCCAGCGTAGGGTTCTCCTTTAGCAGCTGTAGCCAGTCAGCAGCCTGTCCATGTTGTCCGCCCTCACACCCACACACACATACACACACATACACACACACACACACACACTAACAGCAGGCCATGTAGGAGAAGAACAGAGTGAAGGACACAGCACCTCCACACTTTTATTCCCTGCAGGTTCACCCAACACCACATGTCTAATATCAATGTGTAGGGGTGAACAGTGTGTAAAGTTCCTTCGGCCAAATTATAGTTCCTTAACAAGCAGCTTGTTGCTTCGTCAGAGTAACAAGCTCCACTCACTTGCTGCTCAGTCTGCTGTAAGCCTCGCCTTTGAAGTTCGGACTGATCCATAAAACTGCCGCCATATCAAGTTTAGCTCAGTTTTGTCAATTTTTTCTAAATCAATATTAATGTTGTTTTGTTCCAGCCAGTCTGTAAAGCATCTTACAGCCCATTTAGTTTGGCGAATGGTGTTGGGTTCATTTCTGGCTGATTCCAGGTTGTTTAGCTGTTCTTCTGTCACAGCTGCCGACTGAAAAGCTGCTCAGTGGTGATGACAGTTTGGGAATTTAGTGTAGCCTCATCTTCAGAGTCTGACCAAATCAGCTGTCGGTCAAATGTGATCTTAAAAGTGTCCATTTTCTGTTTGTGGCAAAGTAAGAAGTACAGGTGTCAAGGTTGTTACTTTGCAACAGCGTCTCAGCAGAGCGATACAGTGTTTGTGAAAAAACTCGTGATGTTATGGTGAAATAACAGCACAGTTAGAACGCTTCTCAACCAATCAGCTGTGTTATATGTTCTTCACATCAAATGAACAAAGGCCAAGGAATCTGAGGTTGAAATAATAATAAATCGCATCATTTTTGCTTTTAAAGATTGAAAATGGGTCCCACAGACCTGAACACCACACAAGGGTTAATGAAGAAGGAAGCCAAGCCGTTTTATCTGAATGTGAGATAATAGACAGTGTCACTTTCCTACCTTGCCTCATGAGCGCTGCAACTCCGAACCACAAACTATTCAACAGCGTAAAGTTGTTTTCCATCACGTCTGATGAAGGGTTGCAGGGGTGAGGGTTGTACCATTCATATGGAGTGAACCTGTTTTGTTTTTTTAGAGACAGTCATGTGCAAACAATGTAAAAGCCAGAAAACAGAGCACTCGTGGTTTGCACCACGTAAGCAGACAATTCATTATTTTTCTGTTTCAACAGATGAACCACCCACTTCGTCATAACAGAATCTAATTTTCTTATCTCTGTGGTGCGAAAAAAGAGGTCAAGATAAAGTCAAGGGTAGAGCGAGCTTCACGGGATGATTAATTCACAAGTCGAGATGAAACTGAACATTGACTGAGTGAAACGAAGAGACTACTGCTATAAATGTGAGTTTCAAATTCACACTGTAATCTGACTTCGCAGAAAAACATTTTTAAGAGCGGCACAATAAATCAATCCTAATGTTTTTCATGAAGAATTATTCATGCCACACATGCAGACTACAAACTATATCCAATTAGATCACATGTTCAGAAATCAAATTTCACCGACCTTGTAAAACCTCCTTCTCTCCATAACTTTTAGAAAATGGAAACAAAGTCACTGGCTGAGGACCACAGCAGGTGCCCGTTAGAAAGACTGGACAAGACAGTGTTTGCATTTACATTTGCATTTTAATAGGCACGTCCAGCCTTCTGTGTTCGTTCCTGGGCAGCCTGTCTAACTATACAGTCATGGACATCTGCCTTTGGTGTTGGGCTTTGATGATGGCAGAACATTGTGCTCCGTCTTAAAAAGAGTAAAATGTAATAAGCTCATATAAGGTTATTACTCACACTGTTTTGTGTTGAATTAGCAGATTCATAATTAAAGTGTACAGTTATGCAATTTAACTGAGTGCAGTAACTTTAAAAAAAGTGCCACCAGATGTAAGCAAAGTCATTCAGTGTGTTTAAATATGAGACGGTTCATAGTGAATCCTTTGGGTTCAGATTTCTTTACAGTGGTGGTGATAGGAACCAGGGGTCATGGTGTCTAAAATGCAACTATAGCCATTTTATTTACTATCCAAAATGACTAGTGAACCTACATGTGTCTTCAGAGTTTTATATGTAATATTGATGATGGTAAAATAGTGGAAAATCTATAGTGGAAAGTTTTCTTTGGGGACTATTTTGCCAAACACCACCCTGGATGTACCTCTCTGCCATACATGTATAACAAAACATACTGTTTAGACCAAAACTTTACCTCAAAACTTTCATAAAATAATGTATCCGGCATCACGCAACACATTCAGAGACATTTCATGCAATAACTTTCTGTAAGGGAGCTTTCAGAGGCATTAAACTCCTCAGACGTCTGGTTCCTATCACTACCACTGTAAACAATTCTGAATCAAGTAAGTTTCTCTAGATCAGAGAATTTCACGTCAAACCACTATATTATTTTGTTTACTGACGTAGAAATTTTGAAAAAACAGTGACAACGATGTAATGGTGTCACCAAACAGCACTAATAAAGAAAAAAATCAGCAGAACTCACAAATACTGAAAAAAGCAGACTAAATAATGTAAGTAAGTCAAAAGCAGCTCAAACAGGTCACTTGGATTGGATTTTGACAGCTGTTTCACAGCTACTACTATAAAAGTATCCTTATACATATTTTCACACATATTTTTGCTATAATTGCTATCATTATTTCAACTACTGGCATTGTTTTGTATTTTTGGTTGAAATGACTGATATACATCAAACGGCTCAGCTTAACTTTACCAGCTAAAGATCTAACTCACTGTAACCTCCTTACCACCCAGTAATTTAGTAAATTAATAATCAGTGAATTATAAACCAAGCCTTTTATAAGGCCAATCGATAATCTCTCTAAAAGTGAAAGCTGTGCAATTTCTTCACAAAATACAGAATATATAAGTATTTAAAGTATACAGTGTAGATTTATAGAAATCGGGCCCCAAAACTCTAATAAGTGCTCTCGCGTGTTCATACAGGTTTGCTGACGGTGGAGCGGAGGGGCGCTGACATCTCAGGGAGTCTCTTGTCTCTGTTACCTTTCTGGTTTCTCCCTTTTAGTTCGGCTGTTATAGCTCGCCAGAGTCTGTGCTGCACTCTGTTATTAGCTGTGGTCAGTCACTCTTTACAGAACTGACTCTCTGTGTGTTTTCTTGTTCTTTGCTGAGTTGAACAGCTGCCCATCCTGTGCGTCTGTGCTGTTGCTTCTTCTGCCTTGGTCAGGTGCCCACTGCTCGCCAGCCTTCTGGACCGGTTTGACCACCATGGAGCTTCTCACTGCATGAACTGACCTTTCTGATGCTGCTGCTGCTGCTGCACAGACTCAGTCTATTTAATTGTAACCATTGCTTCACCTGTTTTTCCCCGTTTCTGTATTTTAATATTCTACACTAATGCTGTCTGCTATTCGGTGTTGACAAAAGTCTTGGTTCCTCCTAAGAGCAAGAGGCAGGTTTCTTCTTCTTACTCTCAAGGAGTTTTTCCTTGCCACTGTCGCCATTGGCGACGCTCATGGAGGCTCGGACCTGGATATTTCTGTAAAGCTGCTTTGTGACAACGTCTGTTGTAAAAAGCGCTGTATTAAATAAACCAAGCAAGCCGTTGGTGACAGTGGCAGAAAAAACTCTCTGAGATCGCAAGAAAGAAAATTCAATCTGGGAAACTAAATAACAAAGGTAAACCTGCCGGTACTTAAAGACTTCCCACTGTACCTAGCAATGACGAAGAGCACACAGCTGACTCCCAGGCATGCGAGCAACACGTACATCCAAATATCTGGAGTGAGGGGGTTGAGGAAGGAGAAGACCCCTGGGTTGGTGCCATTGGGTTTGCGGTACAGGATGCTGATCCCCAGGGTCATGAATGGCTTAGAAAAGTCTATGACTTTCTCCCGCACGTAAGTGATGGTCAAAGGAGCCACAGCCAGGTCTGCTATCTGAAAATTAAGGAAAAGTAGGAGTGGATCATGTATTTACAGGGTGTCTGCAGGTATCACAGAGAAAACGTACATATCAACGATTCAGTAATGTGCGTAAGTTTTAACAAGGCTGCAAACAGCAACATTAAGTTAGTATATTATGTTATAGTTTCACACAAACACATCTTTGGTCAGTACATACATTTACTTGCATAGACGTGTGTGTGAGTATGTGTGTGTGAGGTTTTGCAATAAAATATGTAATTATTTACATCACTTTACTCTTTACTCCCTACTGAATTTTATTCCTTAAATGCAAAAATCACAGTAAAGTCAAGTTGTGCTGAGGTTTTCTTAAAATAACTCTAAAAACTAGCAAATATTAATATGAAGATGTATCTGCTCTTCAGAACCAACATAGAATTAAAACATACTTTTTAATGTATTATTATGTATGATTGCATTTAGGATATTAACAGAGAACTGTCTATTTTTTGTTTCTCTGGAACACAATCTGGATCTAAAAAGTTTAATGTGAGTGTAAAATATAAATGTAGAAAAAATTATGACTTTTTAGGGACCCAGACACCCCGTATTTACATGTCATTGTAATGGAATTTCAAATATTTTAATCAAAACCATCAAAAACCAGTGGTGGACAGTAACGAAGTAAATGTAACTCGTTAGTGTGCTTAAGTAGTTTTTTCGTGTATCTGTTCTTCACTGAGTTTTTCCATTTTTGGTGACTTTTTACTTTCACTCCACTACATTTCAAAGTCAAATATCTCACTTTTTACTCCGCTACATTATGAGAAATCTGTCGTTCCTTTTGGCTTATTTGTGCATAAAAACGTAACATGTCAAAACGAAAGAAGTGCAAAGCAAGAACACCAATCATCAATGCTTTTGATAATTTTAATAGACATCAGCGTCACTAATTAATGACATTCTATTAAAATATTGGTTTACCAAGAGTGACACTGGAGTATTTTCACCTAAAATGAGTTAATGAAGTTAATAAGTCTTGTTATAAAAATGATAATAGGACATTAGAGCCATAATTAATCTTTTAATACTTTCACTTTTGATACTTAAGTACATTTGAAGGCAAATACTTTTGTACTTTTACCCAAGTGGAGGTCTAAAGGGAGGAACTTCTACTTTTACTGGAGTAATATTTTACCTTGGGTATCTCTACTTTAACTCAAGTACATGGTTTGTGTGCTTCGTCCACCACTGCAAAAAAACCAAGAAGCAACATGCACTGCTAAAGAATAAGGAATCATGTAAACGTTTAACCCAGAAAAAGTTCACCTGTTCAGTTCCTTAATGACAGTCAATAAATAAATGACACAAAGGTCACACCCAAACACAGGTCCTCTCACTTTGCACAAGCCAAACATTTTAGGAAGTGTTAAAAAGCTAAATTAGGCCTGTTGTGTTAAAATGTGTGTGACTTACATGGTCAATGAGCTCCCTGACCATGCCGTTCCACTCCCCCTTGTCATTCTGGGCGCCGTACTTTCCGTCAGACACCAGCTTGACTTCGTAATTAAACCCCAGGATGTTGGAGAGCTCCTTCAGCAGGTCCAGACAGTAGCCTTCAAAGCGATCATTCCCATACAGCACCTTATCAGACTTCTTATACATTACATATGGGTTCTCCTGCAAACATGTACCAAATTCACTTTAGACATCAAACAAAAAACAATATCAGCTTAGAAAAATGTTATCGTTAGTTAAACACGTCATTAATTATATTAAAATAGACATGAAATAAGAGTAGAGTGGATGGCAAGTGACACATGGTTAGTAAGATAAAGCTTACCAGGATTGTGGTGACTATCAGCGTTCTGTTAGCCAGCGAATCTGTGACATTTTTAGAGTTTTCCTGCTTTTCGGTCAACTTCAGACCCGTGTAAGAGTTCCACACCCCGATCTGTAAGTAACACAATATCAATCCATCGTACAGAACTGAAGACAGCAAACACAAAAGTAATGTGAGTCAGGAGGGGGTAGAAATGTGGGCATCACTTCCGAAATACATTCACAACATAAATAAGGATATTCGTTCTATACTGTCTCTGCCTCCGAGAGATCATAAAGTATACCAGATCATGACAACAGAGGAACATAAACATGAACAGGGGATGTTAAAACAGGTTTAGAGAGGGACAGTATGTCATCTGAAGAAAGTGGATGTTTAAGGATAGTCACAGGAGATCTCAGGTTGCTGCTGATGCATTCGCTGAGTTTATGGTCGAGCATGCTTTTGCCTCAAAACGAGATGCATTGGCCTTAACAGCAGAAAGCCGGTGAGCCATCTCTCGGCTCAAATGCTTTATTTCAAGCTTGTACAATCCTGTTAGAATCAAAAAGAGCACTCTTAGGATTCTGAATGCATCAGGAGAAGAAAGTGAAGATCACTTCTGAAAGCAGTATGCAGTCAAATGGCTGTCTATTCATTTGCTGTCTTATTTGCTGAAACACTATGAGCACATAAAGTGATTAGTCTCGAAGGGGAAATCGGGGTTTGATTATTTTGAATAAAATCAATAAGTTAGTATATAAATCTCAGAAATATTCAGTGTGATATTCCGTTTAGGTTCAGCAGATTCACGCCTCTGTGTTTCACCACTCAACTCAGGAGGGCAGAGAGCTTTCTTAGCTGTAGCTTCGCCTCTGATAAAGCCATTTCACTGCCTCCACTCCATGTGTGCGGATTCTCACAGTGTGTGGGGGGACAGCTGGCATCCAACATTTCAGGGTTGAAAATGTGGATAAAGATCACAATAAGAAAGGCTGAAGCGATTTAAGAGAGCAAGTTCAGGCTGAAGCTAATGCAGTCAGCCCAAAAAAAAAAAAAAATTTCAGCACAGAAAGGAAAAATGGTCTGGAAAGCAAATCTTTAAGAAGAGGAGGAGGAGGAGGCCTGCTCTACAATTGGGGACGGCAGGGGACAAATTTGAAAAGACGATTTCTGATAAGAAAGGAGTCACAACTGACTCATTTTCTAGGTAGCTACACTTTTTGTGCGGGCACTCATAAAGAATTGTAAGCACATCTCTTTTCACCTCTGGTGTAGAAGTATAACGGGAACTGAAGGTATGGTGAAGCTGATATCTGTGCATTGAATTCAATTCAACTTCTCAATTCAACAAAATGCTTTAATCATGAAAAAATGAACAAAAGTGGTCAGAAAAATAAATATAATGTCTTCTAAATCATTTCTAACCTGCTTAACCTGCTCAGTCATTACAACAAGGAAAGCCCACAGAATGACCTTCAATTTTTTTATTTTTTTTTTTAACTGTGTGTTTGCGAAAAGTGGTCTTTGGAAATTATACCTGCCAAAGGCCATTTCAAACTGATTTCAAGTAGTATATTCAAAGCAGTATTGAAGAGTAGTATTCAAAGTCATGAAGCTCAGGGTTTCCTATAGAGAGTGGAATCCGTGCCAAATTGAAAAGCAATCACTACTGTGGAAAAACGTGAAATGCAATGCACTCACGACATTACTTTTCCATAATGACATGCAAAATATGTGCCACAGTGAAGAGCAAAACCCTCTATTACACTGTCCTCACGTCGCTTGACCTCTGTACTGAAAAGAAATATGAAGATTTTTATTTAAAAAAAATTAAATCAAGGATTCAGGTGAGAATTGAATGCAATCCACTTAATTAAAATTCAAAACAGTTTAAAAGCAACACGCCTTCCTCTCGCTCCAAAAATGGACAGCTGAGAGCTGCTCAGAGCTAAGTATCTTCCAGCGAAGGCTTGTTCTGCTGGTTAGGTTGTTGCTCATGATCCACGTGGTTCATTCATGTGAAGTTATTGATTAGGATGTGCGCATGTGGGTCATTACAAGACACAGGTTTGTTCACATTAATGACAGATTTGCGTTGCTTTGCCTACATGGATGTGAACCATCAAAAACTTGGATTTGAGCAATGTGAACAAGCTTAACTGAGTTATATTAGCACCAAGCTAACATTTTCCCACACTGGGATTTCCTTCGTTTGATATAAGATGAGTTTGGATAAATGCATGCTCTGAAAAACATGTCCATACTATAAGAAAGGTAAGTCATTCATCAGCACTGTAATCGTGTTTACATGCTGCTTTTGGGTTACAGTGACGTTAAGGTGACAGAGACACTGCAGTATTCATTTTTCTATTTACTTTCCCTTTTCCCTCCAAAACGGTCCAAAGTGTCCGACCCATTTTTGAGCATTTTTTAAATGTGAACAAGGGGTGGAGTTATGTAAAACTGGGAAGTGTCGTTACCCTTTAAGTCTACACACACTGGCCACTTTATTAGGTACGCCTTGTATCTACAATCACTGTCCATTTTATCCGGTCCACTTACTATACAGGTGCATTTTGTTGTTCCACAATTACAGATAGTAGAACAGACTCTCAGCACAGCAGAGACAATGACATGGTAGTGAGTGTAGAAAGGTGCTTTATTAGATAGGTGTACCTAATAAAGATGCCAGGACGTGTATACGAGTAGTAGTGCAGTAGACAGAAAGATAGATAGAACTTTACTGACCCCAAAGGGAAAATGCAGTGTTACAGTACAAATAATTGCACATAAACTTACATATATTAGGCAGAAATAAAAATAGGAATAAAAACAGATGGCAAAAATAGACATAAACTGAAGTATGAGAGAGTAGGAGTAAGTATATCTGTTGCATATTTACATAGCATATAAGACAGATTTGTTGTATTTACATGAGTAAATAGTAAGTAGTGTAAAATTAACTTAAGTTTGATGTTTATCCTAAGAGGTAATGGGGAGGAGATGAACTGTGACATTTGTGTGTGTGAACACGTGCTGGAGGCGAGACAGAAGCTAACAAACCGATACCTCCTTGTTTATGGCACGAAACAACTGCTTTGGCACCATGGGTACGCACCTCAGAGTGGTCCTGCTGTTCTCGGAGAGGGTGGACAGAGCTGGTCAGACTAGGCATCAGCCAGTCTGGCTATAGTCTGTATTGCTGTAACGTAGCAATATAGTCCAATGCTTGAACTGTAGCATAAGCAAAGCCTTTCTTTGGTTCCCACTCAGTAAAAAATCCACCTCACATGTCAGACTGAGACTTCTTAGCTTTCTCAGGCTCCTGTGCAGAGCTGAGCACTGAATATTTCTTAGGTCAAGGCTTATCCGAAAGGGTAGCGCCTGACCTCATTTCTAAGCTGGCAAGATGCTCCTACCTCTGGGGAATCAACATCATGCTACACTTAAAACAAGGGTCGGTCAGAGTAGGTCAGGGCCTGTCTTAAAAGAAACCCCAGATAGTAAGACTCACAGAACTCAATGTGGGGTATATACATATCCTAAAATATTAAAATATTTTGTTAAAATGACAAAATATTTTATTTACTACAAAGTCCATGACAATACTGGGGATGTTAGACATTTGAGATTTGCCAAACACAGTTGTTTTGGCCAGTGGAAGCAGCTCAAAATAGGAGAAAATAAAATACAGTGCAAAGTTATGCAGCTTTTGGTTGTGATTTTCAGTCAAAGGACATTAAATAAGCTACTATTAAGCTCAACAGCTTTCCTACTGATGAGAAGAGGAGAAAACGTTTGCAGTCAAACAGCTAAACCGAGGCTGTATGAGACCAGCTGAATGAAACTTCCTGTCTTATCTGCCTTCCTTGATTTTATCTGATCTGTAGCTGTATGGATCCACATTCCAGTCAGGTCTGCCGATACATTTACTGAGTCCATGGCAGAATCAAAGCAAGCAGACAGGAAAGGAAGTTTCAATCAACTATTTGGACGCAGAGCCAGGAGTTATGCAGCACGAATAGCAAGATTTCAGACTGAAACATGACTTACAGAGCAGAGAGCAGTGGAATTTTTATTTCCTTGATTAAATCTATTTGACAGTATCCATCAGTATTCTTTTCCTCTCATTCCACTTCGGCTCAAACTGAAATGGCTGAACAGCAGACATGTCCAGCTAACAAGTACGAGTTCAGTGGTCAAATCTAGTACAACCATCTGGCGTCACCACCTAGAGCATAAAAAAATGACAACCTTCAGCATATTTTAGTAGCTTAAGGTATCCCAAATTATGGTCAAACTGTCTTATCAGCTGGGGTTCCTTTCAAATGATCTACAATGATGCACCAAAGACATGCTTGTGCAAATTTACCAATAATTACACTGGCTACATTCACTTTATTATAAAGACTGTAGAGCTGGGCGATATGGCCAAAAACGTTATCACGATAAACAAAATTCATATCGTTCGATATCGATACATATCGCGATAAATGTCAAATCATGATTTCTTTCACGTTTGAAGGCTGATTTTGCTCCTGGGTGGTTAACTGTGGTTTTAAACTATCACTTATGGTCCGATCATGACAAACACTCGGCAAACAGTGGAACATTTCACTAATCTGTCTTGGGACAGTCGGAGAAAGTTTGAGCTGTTTTTATCAGCTTGAAAAGCACAGCTGCAATTTTTGTAATAGTCATGATTTAAGAAAGAAAACATTATTTTTAGCTGTCTGGTGACGAGCGCTCGGCTACCCCGTTACAAATGCTAAACAAGTGGCCGACAACAGAGCTAAACTCTTTAGTTTCTCAACAACGTCAGCTCGGTTCGGTAGGTCACTGCGGTCACTCCTACCACATCCATGTCAGAGCATATCACAGTATTCAGACACCAGCTAGACGACTGGGTTTCTCTATGCTATCGCAGTAGTTTAAGGGGTGAACCGCAGTATATCTGACGCTCGCTGTGTAAAAGCATTATCTGCAGTGTGAATCTCTCACACCAGTCACAGAGTCCTCCTTTTAGGTACGTTTAAACTGAAAGCGGTGATTTTGTGTCTTGTTTGATCTACAGTATCATCAATTCACTGTGTTTTGCCGGAGCGCTGCTTCAAGTTAGCCAGCAGCTAAAAACAGCTAGCCTGGAAAGACAGCGCTCTCCCGCTCTCCAATGCCTCACAGCTTCCTCAGTTTACTTTCGAACATGAACCCACTTCTTTCTTTCACTTTCGCTGCTCGAGAATGCACTAATACTAAAATATGACGGTTTGGTGCTGTAACACGGCGCTGCAGACGTGATTTAACACCGCTAAAGTTGTTAGGATGCATGGAAAGAGGTGAGTTCGCTGTAGGACAGTACAGTTACACCACTGACCTCGTCACTCACACTCGGTCACAGGAGAACAGATCGCAGTATTATGTATTAAAGTATTATGTGATTAAAACCAGTGGTGTTTTGCCAACTGGTGCTATTATTCATTGCTCTAATGTCGCCCTTACACCAAACGACTTTTCAAGCAATTTCACCGTCAGATTTCCAACGTCGGAATAAAATCGTGAGTCTTGGCTCAGGTAAATAGTGACGTGTAAGGGGCGCAGGTGAGAGCGAGCGGGCTGTTTTAATATTTCAGGTTCACTGAGTGTAACAGTGATGTAAGGAAATGTGCAGAGGACAATAAGAATGGCATTATTAAAGAATCATCAATGTTTTTTTCTTTTCATTTCTTTTTTTTTTGCTTTCTGTTCCACTGGTTTCTTATTTTGTTTGTTTGTCTTTTATGGTTCATAGTTCATAACAGTTCAATCCAATGAACAGTTCATTCAACAGTGCTGAATCACTGCATGTTTTGTTGATGTGTAAAATTAACATTTATGTTAAATAAAAAAGTAACCCACATTTTGTTGATTATAAAAATTCTGGGTGCTGATCTGCCAGAATATAACAGTTCTACAGTGAACTGGGCTGAGCCCCACATCTTTACATACTCAGCCAGCGTATCTGCCCATCTGTACCACTACAGAGTGGAAGGAAAAGTGTTTATCTGCTTGTAAATTTCCACCAGGTGCATGATGGGACATAATATCAAAAATCTAGTTGCAATCTTGCAAACAGTGACCCTACAGGATCCCCGGTCTTTGCAAAATCATACTCTGTGACTAAAAACAGTGCCATTGTCTTTAGATGTGAGAGGGCGTCAGACTTCAGTCTTTCAAAAGGCTTTTCAAAGTCGTCTAGAGTACTGTTAGCATAAGACAGTGGCCGGGTCTCATAAAGGACTGCCTTGCCCTATTCACATTACATCACTGATACTAACACTCTTCTGTAGCACCTCTACTGCTTTTTCTTGTCCATGATTATTTATAACATAGAAGATGAAACAAATGTGCCTCATATCCTCGTAGTTGTTTCCTCCATCCTAAAAATGCACACAAGAGCTACTGGAGCACTAATACCGTACCCTTGTGGAAAACCTTCAGCCTGCTAAACTTAAAAGAGTGAGTGTTATAAGCCAGGTCCATGAGGTCCCTGATATATAAATAATACACAATTTTTATGTATATGTATGGACAATAGACAGAATGGAGCATACAACAAAAACACATGTAGTGCATATTATCTGGATCAAGCACCAATACAAGAACAGCTGGTTCTCAACTCGATTACACCTCATCTGTTAAAAAACACACTCGGTGCAGCACTTAACAAATAGCAGTAAATATCTGAATCTCCAAAATATGATAAACAAAGTCTAGCAAAATGATATTCCAATAAACAGGGTGATTCAAAAAGATTCATCTGATTTCAAAATGATTTATTTCACCTATAAATCATTACAGAACAGTGCAGTAAACTGTAAATGGTTTAAATGAGCATAAAGTTGTAATTGTACGAGTGCTCAGTATGAACGTCCTCCAGCTGTACAGACAACAACGCCATAGTCAGATTCATCCCATACTGGATTGAGCATGTCGGGTGTCGCTGCACTCACGGCTCTTTCAGTGCGATTTCGGAGATCATCCAGTGTCGTAGAACCAACGACGAACGCTCTGAGCTGTTGGAGCTTCACTGCCGATGAAAATCACACTGCACAGTTATGACGGATTCACTCTTATTGAAGTGGAGAACACAGAACGCTTTCTGCTCAGGGGTCGCATCTCCTCGCAGACTGAAGGGAGCCATCTTCCACTGACAGTCAGAAACTCTATGACCCCCTCTTTCAGTTGGTATGTGATTGGTTCCTAGACGCCTCATGGTTGTAAATATATGGCGCTTTGAAATTGGATGAATCCTTGTGAATCACCCTGTATACCTGTAGACCTTTAGTTATAGAGCTTAACCCATCACACCAACTAGAATAATCAAAATGTATACATTAGTAATAAACCAGATGGGTAAAACTGAATGAGGTAAAATGAAAATACTACACCAAGCGATTATAAAACCCCTTTGTGGATACTGACCAAAATTGGTCTTTGTCCTTATTAAACATTAATTATGGCCACTTAATATTTAATGTTCTCTTAAATGGACTTAACATTAGCACCTCAACTGTATTTGCAGGCTTGCATGTTATCCGTTTACTAAAACTGGCACCAAAAGCTTTGCATTGAAGAAAAAAGCATTGAAGCAATGGTCACTTGGTTGGGCACCCTAGGGCACCCTAAGTTTTCTGTGCTGCTGACTGGCTAATGTCAGCGCCCTGAATCTGATGGAGAATCCTGTGAAATCCACACAGAAAACTTGACCACAGCTGTTGTAAATATGATTAATAAACTGCCATTTTTGACTCTCAAGCCAATTTCGCATATCTGAAAGCTTTATCTCACAAAAAGTGTCAAAAAGTGTATTTCATAGAAGAAAAAAGTGATATATTTCAACATGCCCTGGCACCAATAATGGACAAAAAAACCCTAATTAAAACTGTCTTTAAACGAGGGACCCATGTGCAACCAATGAGATACTAACTCTATCTTAGGCAGGAGCCAATGCGTTAAGGTTCCACATCAGAGACCAAAGGATTATTGGTTTAAAACGTCGAGCCATTAATATAAACAAACAAAGGTTAAACAGAGCCGTTCCACTGCTGTACAGTTACACAGTTACAAAAAATGAAAAAGCACTGCCATCATTCTAAGCGCTGTGCTCTGGTGGTTTAACAGGAGCTGTCAGCACTAAGAGAATTAGAGGCAGCAGTGCCTGAAGACGGCACGCCTGCCTCTGTTTGATAATGCCTTTATTAACAGCACCATAAACCACTCGCACTTTATGCGTGGTGCATGTCATACAGCACTGCTTCCCTCCAGGGACTTCTGAAAGCAGTGGCTTGCTCAAACGAATTAACTTTCGGAAATAAATTAGCGCTGCTCTCCAAACATCTGCCAGTGGATTAACGTGTTTGTGTTGGAGCACACTTGATGAGCCACTTTCAGAGATATGTTCCTTCCTGAGGAATCAAAGTACTAGGAAATAGAAAGGCTTTTCCCTACATTCAATATTAAGTGCTGTACATTAAAGTTAACCAGCGCCATTAATTGTAACCTACATACTCCTACATCTCTCAGCAATGCTTTCTGGGAGAAACTGAGAGTTTAGGGAATACTGGGGAATGAAGTTAAGAAGGAAAAGTTTAGTATGGAAGATGGGGCTGAGCGTAAGGACTGGGATATTTCAGTTGGGCAAGGGAAATCAAAGGGAGACTGGAACAAACCTTCGTCCACAATTTAGTACGACGTGTCGCACCGTCAACTACACGCTTTTGAAAAGAGTTAAAAGAATGGAGTCAGTACATAAACAGGACTGCTGCAAATACATTCCCCAATCATTTTCTTTCAGCATCCAATTGAAATTCATTAAAATATTATTTAATGGGGCTAAGTGTCATATACAAATATACTGCTGTTGTCAGAACAAAAGCTTGTACCTCCAAAATGGTAACTTTACAGGAGAAGGAAAAAAACTTTTTTAATTTCAATGTAAGTCAATGGAACCAGACTTCTTTCCAAGCCATTTTGGGCTGTTTCTTTTGGTCCACTCACCATGAAATTAACACATAATGTAAAGGGCAACAAGAATTTTCAGTTATGTCAAAAACTGAAAAATGGAAGTTTTTTAAGGTTTTGTCCCGACAGCAGCGATATCAAAGTCTTTAAGCTACAATAGCCAACTTGTTACATCATATCTTTTAAGAAGTCCACTGTCTAAGCTCCACTGGCATTACAATAGAAATACCATTCAGCCATATAAAAAAGCAGCACATAACAACCTTTTCTGCCAGCAGCAACTTCCTGAGCACTAATTGAGCCGCCTCACCTTCGCTGTGCCGTCCTCCTTGAGGCTGATGAGGTCCAAGTCGAAGTCTTTCCTCAGTCCATCAGTCTTGTTAAGGACGATTCGTCCTGTCAGGCCATCCCACTGAGCCTGAGTTGTCCGGCACAGAGAAGACACAGAGGAGAGACACAGTGAGTCATTAAGTTCCCTTCCAGACAGCTGTGTACATGGCTTAGGGCAACAGGAAGAGTCAAAATGTCTTAGCAGGATCAAAACAAACAGTTTCTCTCTCCGGCAGACCTTAATTGGCTAGGTTGGTCTATCTGGCCAACTTTCCAGTGCAACAGAAATCAAACAGAAACAGATCCATTAATAATTCAGTGTTAAGCTGACCTTTATTAATTGCACTGCAACTTAAATGAGTAGAAAACAGACCATTTTGATCAGTTTAGTATATTCGCCTGTCCCCAGTGGCAAGAGCACAAAACACAAGGCATATTTCTCCATCACTTTCCCTTTATTAATGGACATTTTTTTGACAAACGACTACTACAAATTCAATCATAGCAAGCAACCCTGCAGGAAAAGCAGCCCAGATAGCCAGGCTGGAATCCTGAAAAGCTGCAGCTCTACATGCCTTTATCCACACTGACGCTGCCTTCTATAGGAGCAGGACTCCAAACTAGCCCTAACACGCTGGTTCATGCTCTGTCACACCAGCTGGCCATGACACTTTTCCTCCAACCACCTCTGTCACGTTCGTGGCACCATTCCCCATCTCATTACTCTTCGGAGCAGGGGGGCCCAAATCCTGTCCTGGAGGGCCACGGCGCTGCAGAATTTTATCCCCGAGCTCCAACGTGCCGGCTTCAGCTCGTGAAGGATTTGATAATTAGCTGTTGAGCTCAGTTGGGTTGGAGGAGGGAAAACACTAAACTCTGCAGTGCTGCGGCCCTCCAGGACTGGATTTAAGCACCCCTGCTCCGAAAAGTAATGAGATAGTGAAAAGTGCTGTGATCCAGCCTGAAAATGTCTCAAGTCCTGGAGTTTCGAAAGAAAGTGTCCCAGAGAGGCAGGACACATGGTCAACAGTTACCACTGACATGTAAATTAGAATCGTAATTACACAG